AGGGACTCACACACCCACACACACCATGGCAGAAACTCACCACACCCACACACCATGGCAAGGACTCACCACACCCACACACCATAGCAGGCTATCACACCCACACACCATGCAGGGACTCACACACCACACACCATGGTAGAAACACACTCCACACACCATGGCAGGGACTCACCACACTCCACACACCATGGCAGGACCACACACCCACACACCACAGCAGGGACTCACCACACCCACACACATGGCAGAACCCACCACACCCACACACATGGCAGGGACTCACCACACCCACACACCTGGCATGGGACTCACTACACTCCACACACCCCATGGCAGAACTCACCATCCACACACCATGGCAGAAACTCACCACACCCACACACCATGGTAGGGACTCAACACACCCACACACCATGGCAGGGACTCACCACACCCACACACCATGGCAAGGACTCACCACACCCCACACACCTGGCAGCAGGACTCACTACACCCACACACACATGGCAGAACTCACCACACCCACACACCATGGTAGGGACTCACCATTGACCCACACACCATGGCAGGGACTCACCACACCCACACACCATGGCAGAAACTCACCACACCCACACACCATGGCAAGGACTCACCACACACCACACACCATGGCAGAAACTCCACACACCCACACACCATGGCAAGGACTCACCACACCCACACACCATGTGGCAGAAACTCACACACCCACACACCATGGCAAGGGACTCACCACACCCACACACCATGGCAGAAACTCAACACACCCACACACCATGGCAGGGACTCACCACACCTAACACACCATGCAGAAGCTCACACATTCCACACACCATGGCAGACCCACACCCACACACCATGGCAGAACTCACCACACCCACACACCATGGTAAGGACTCACCACACCACACACCAGTGCAGAAACTCACACACCCACAGACCATGGCAAGGACTCACACCCACACACCATGGCAGAAACCACCACACCCACACACCATGGCAGGGACTCACACACCCACACACCATGGCAGAAACTCACCACACCCACACCTGCAAGGACTCACCACACCCACACACCATGGCTGAAACTCACACCCACACACCATGGCAGGGACTCACACACCCACACACGCGGTGGTGGGACTCCACACCCACACACCATGGCAGAAACTCACCACACTCACACACCATGGCAGGGACTCACCACACCCACACACCATGGCAGGGACTCACCACACCCACACACCATGGCAGGGACTCACCACACCCACACACCATGGCAGGGAATCACCACACCCACACACCATGGCAGGGACTCACCACACCCACACACCATGGTAGGGACCTTCCACACCCACACACCATGGCAGGGATTCTCATCACACCCACACACCATGGCAGGGACTCACCACACCCACACACCATGGCAGGGACTCACCACACCCACACACCATGGCAGGGAATCACCACACCCACACACCATGGCAGGGACTCACCACACCCACACACCATGGCTGGGAATCACCAACTCACGTGTCTAAATAACACACTAAGTCTCCACAGGCAGTACGAATTATTTTAAAGTGAAAAGACCATAAGAAAGGAACCAGTACGATTTATATCCTCACGTATATTGATGGTCTTCACAGCTTGTCCCAGTCTCGCACTGGAATTATGAAAATTTCATGCCTCGGGATCTTGACGCAGGTGAATATTTATCAGGTCTATAACGCAGACAATCTCTGTATGACATTTGTCAACTCACACTTTATGTATGATCTCACAATTAATATATTCATAACAACTCAGAGTGATATGTCAAGAGATACATCTTTAGTCACAAAGGTGTCAAAGAATACTAGCAGCAGGAATTATTAAAGCGCTTAAGTCAGTCTGCATATTAATGCATTTTTTTCTATGTAAATTTAAGTGATGTTCACAATGTTCTCCCCTGGGTGCTCTTCCTCCTCCCACTGTTCCCAATGTTTTATTAAAACAATAAAAGGTCGCAACCACCGTAATGTCAATGGGGCAACATTATACTTTTCACATTCAGCACAACAAATACACTTAAATATAAATATTGTTCGCGATAATAGCAGTAATCAACCACAATCTTCTCCAATGACTGATTCTCTCATTTCTAACACCAATATTCTTTTTTTTGTAAATCGCTGACTCTTTTCATTTTCGTAAATGCGTTATTTTCCATAATTTTTTCTATCTCCTTCATTTTTCTGAATTATGCTACATATACTAATCGCTGCTTCCAGACACGGAGGAGGATATCCATCAACTCTCCTTGATTCTGTTATACATGTTTCATTTAAGCCGCTATAGATCATTAACCAGGCAGTTTTCTCCTCACATCACCTCTCCCTTTAGTGAGACCATCAGTCAGCTCTTACCTGCCACTCTTACTATAGTAAATGTCCCCAGTAGGTCATTCATTGATAGTCAAAATGGTACTCGACTGTTAGACTGTGTTTAGATTAATTTCGTCAACACTTCCTCACCCTTCTTATACTAAGCAGGTGATCTCCGGCTGTCTAGCTGTGCAACTTCTGGAAACCTGTAGAGATACGATGGACTGTCCAGGTCGCTGAGAAGAAAATGTAAGTATATACAATATATATTCAGACATAGACGAAGTAAAAAGAAGACCCTGGGCATGTTTTACTCTGGTTTCATGACCCTAACCAGTCAAGTTGACCTTGACAAACACTATCCACGGAGAAATCGCCCTCCCCTACATTTAGCCAGATAAACTTGACAGGGTTATTTCTAATCTTGAATGACTTTCACAGATACACATCTGACTTACAGAAAAATATTTCCTAGCATCGTTGTACAACACATATTCTAGTCTGTGCCGTTGTCGTAAGTTATGTAAATTTTCTTATGAAATTACAAGGGGTTAATCAATTTAATTCAGATGATATTTTGTATCCCACAGAGTAAGGCTAACTTGTTCACTAACAGCTGATGTCTAATAGTAACTTAATATCTTAATAACTCTGAAATAAATCAGCATGCTATAAATAAAACTAACTCATAAGTATAATGCGTCTCTCCCCTCCCTCGGCTCCCTCTCCCTCACCGCCCCTCCACAACTAAACTCCAGAGTTGATTAATGAAGCACAGTATTTCTAAAAGTCGTGCAGAATTTTAAGCATTAGCGTATCTTGTCCCTGGTGACGAAGACGGAGATAAATGAGTTCCTCCAGGATGGCCAACTTCCCTTTGTCTCCAGAGTATTCCAGAGACCCAGTTTTTGTCGCCACACTGACGACCAGTTCTGGATTCAACCGCGGGAGATCATTAAGAGGGAACTTTTGTGGAAACTGAGACGTATTTTAGATGATGGAAATTTAATTTAAAAAGAAGTTTGGATACACACAGTCGTAAATGTGACTCATTTTGAATTTGAGAAATTTTTGCTTTATTTTTAGCTGTTTTATGTAAAACTTTATAATTTGAAATGACTTTCTGATCACACTTATGGCAAGTAAGGAATGTGTGTGTGTGTGTGTGTGTGTGTGTGTGTGTGTGTGTGTGTGTGTGTGTGTGTAATAATAATAATAATAATAATAATAATAATAATAATAATAATAATAATAATAATATAATAATAATAATAATAATAATAATAATAATAATAATAATAATAATAATATAATAATAATAATAATAATAAAAATAATAATAATTAGCGGTTTATTAAGATAACATGGCAGCCCGAAGGCTGAAAATAAACAATGAACAGAGATGATAAGTTACATATGGTGGAATCGGGGAGTTGGTCACTTGATTGATAAAAGCTTTCAATTCAGAAACATAAGTAACATGGTGTCAACATATAGATTAACTGTTGATCTGGTACTGTGGGAGTTGGTCTGTAGACATTCTTGTGACCTGATGTCGGCGCCAGCCTGGCTGTTAAGCCGCTACCTCACTACAGCTGCAGATGCACCACGTGTTGGAGATGGTTCTTGTTCCTCATGTGATGTAGTTAGGAATTCATAGTTCCTCACCTGGGTGGAGTAGGGAGTCCTCACTTCTCTCCTGGTGTAGTTTGGAGTGTTTCTTGGCTTTTAATTTAGTGTTGGTGGTGGCGAGTGTACCTCGGGCTGGGTGTGTCACGTCAAGGGTCAGGTCAACACTGACCACTACATAAGAACATAAGAAAATAAGGAGTCTGCAATAGGCCGGTTGGCCTGTGCATGGCAGCTCCTGTCGAGAGTTACTACCACTCTCTATCATCCATGAATCTATCTAGCCTCCTTTTGAAACTTTCCAGAGTTCCCGCACTTACTACAAAGTTAAGCTTGTTCCACTCGTCCACCACCCTATTTGTGAACCAGTTTCTTCCTATCTCCCTCCTAAACCTAAACTTATCCAACTTGAATCCGTTGCTCCGAGTCCTATCCTGCTCGGATATTATAAGAACTTTATCTATATCCCCTTGATTGATTCCTTTCACCCACTTAAATACTTCTATCATATCTCCCCGCACTCTTCGTCTTTCTAGGGAATGCAAGTTAAACACTAAACACAATTGTCACTACCATTTGTTTCTTTGTTTCGAGTTGAAATTGTCACTTTTGTATATCACTTGTGGGTTGATCATCAATCTTTGCACTATACTTTGGTGGGAGGATGTTGACAAATCCAGATTGGAAGGAAGAGATGGGGAAGGAGAGGGCCCGACAAACCAGGCTGGCAGCTGTTCCCCATGGTCAAGAGACCACGGCCGCGTTAGCGGGCAGCGCCGACTACACACGTCCTTACCTTATGAAGGGTTTACAGGTGGGTGCCGAGATACCGAAAGGGGTAACATTAGAGAGGGTAATACCGTTAAGCTAGTTGGATTGTGGAGGTGTGGCTGAACCAGGGGCAGACTAAAAGATAATCTGAGTCTTACTTACATTCACCTTATGGCCGAAGTGTGCATACTCATCTGTGTCGGTGTTCAGGATCTCCTGGAGGTTGCGTTCAGTGAGAGCGACAAGGGTAAGGACGTCTGCACACTGAAGCTCAGTAATGGAAGCTGCCGACATCTTTGTTTCTGCCAGGAGTCTTCTTATGTTGAAAAGACCCATCATCCGGTACTCGATGACCACCCTGTAGGCTAAATTGGCACTGGCACGAGTAATGAAGGCAGTCAAGAAAATGGAAAAGAGAGTTGGTGCCAGTACACATCCTTGTTTAACCCCTGTTTGGATGGGGAAGAACTCAGACTGGGTGCCATTGTGTAGGACACTATCGTTCATGCCATCGTGGAGTTGCCTCACAATGGCCATGAATTTTGGTGGGCAGCCAAACCGGCTGAGGGTCCGACAGAGGACTTCCCTGTTCACCGAGTCAAAGGCCTTGGTTAGGTCAATGAAGGCCATGTACAGGTCAAGACGCTGTTCTCTGCACATATCTCATATATAGAGGGCAGCAAAGATCAAGTCAGTGGTGCCACGTGATGGTAATACCGATTTTCAAGAGTAATACCGATTTTCAAGAAGGGGGATAGATCACTATCCTCTAACTACCGCCCAATCAGTCTAACATCAATAGTAGGCAAATTACTGGAAGCAATCATTTCAAACTCTATTCGAAATCACCTGGAGAAGCACCGATTGATCAATGATTCCCAGCATGGCTTCACAAACGAACGTTCTTGCCTAACTAATCTATTAACATTCTTTTCATCAGTTTTCGAATCGGTGGACGAGGGGCACAATTATGATGTGGTATATCTCGACTTTAGAAAAGCCTTCGACAGAGTCCCCCACGAAAGACTAATTAGAAAGGTAGAAGCTCATGGCATCAAAGGTGACATCCTTAAATGGATTAGGGCGTGGTTACAGGACAGGAAACAGCGAGTGAGCATTAACGGCACTAAGTCCCATTGGAGCAATGTCACAAGTGGAGTTCCCCAAGGCTCAGTACTTGGACCATTATTATTTATTATATACATAAACGACATAGATATCGGCATTGACAGCAACATAAGTGTTATTAAATCTGACGAGGACTCGGCAAAACTACAGGAAGATCTAAACAAATTTTTCGAATGGTCTGAAAAATGGCAGATGAAATTCAACGTGGACAAATGTAAAGTACTCAGTATAGGAGATGTAAACAGGGAAACCAGATACCAGATGAACAACGATGCCATAGAGAAATCCGACTGCGAGAGAGATTTAGGAGTAATGATAAGTAGGAACCTTAAGCCAAGTAAACAATGTGTTTTTGCTCGTAACAAGGCTAATAAAGTACTTGGGTTCATACAAAGGAGTGTTAGTTACAAGACTAGCGAGGTCATCCTAAAACTGTATCTTGCTCTTGTGAGACCACATCTGGATTACGCAGTTCAGTTCTGGTCACCGTATTACAGAATGGATATAGAATTGGAAAGAATTCAGAGGAGAATGACAAGACTAATCCCGGGCATTAGGGCCTTGAGTATAGAGACAGGTTAAAAGCATCTTAATTTGCACTCCCTTGAGAGACGTAGAGCGAGGGGCGACCTGATAGAGGTGTATAAGTGGAAGGTCAGGGCTAAACAAAGGGGACATTACAAAGGTACTCAAACTATCCAACCAGGAGCGAACTCGTAACAATGGTTTTAAATTAGACAAATTTAGATTTAGGCGTGAAATAGGTAAACACTGGTTTGGAAACAGAGTAGTGGATGAATGGAACAAGTTACCAAATATCATCATTAACTCGAATACGCTGAATTGCTTCAAACATAGGTTGGATGCTCATATGAGCAATAGGGGTTGGGTGTACACGGGACTGCCCAGTATGGGCCAATAGGCCCGCTGCAGTTTCCTCCATTCTTATGTTCTTATGTTCTTAAAGCCATATTGAGATTCTGAGAGCATGTTTTCCGCCTCAGGAAGAAGTCTGTTTAGAAGGACTCGGGCGATAATCTTGCCAGCTACGGACAGCAGCGAGATCCCACGGTAGTTGCCACAGTCTGACTGATCTTCCCTGTTTTTATAAATATTGACGATGGAAGCGTCTTTAAGAGTTGTAGGATTTCATCCTCTTCCCATATATTCTCCAGGAGAGAGTGGAGACGGCTGGTAAGCAGAGGTCCTCCCGCTTTATACACCTCGGCTGAGATTCCATCAGGCCCTGAGGCTTTGTTATTTTTTATATGTTTGATGGCAGTAGCTACCTCATCCAGGGATGGAACAAACACACACACACACACACACTCGCACACACACTCGCACACACACACACACACATACACTCACACACACACTCACTCATGTCCAATGTATATTTTCAGCCTTCGGGCTGCAGAATTTTTTCAATAAACCGTTAATTATTATTATTACACACAAATATATGCATGTGTTTTCAAGAAACCAGCCAGGTATTGTGTGTACATACACATACAGGAATTCCTTGGTGTGTGTGTGTGTGTACGTGGTTGTGTATATTTGTGTATGTGTGTTTGTTCATGTGGTGTATGTGTTTATACATGTGTACGACCGCTTGTGTCTGCATTTGCCAATATTTGTGCGCTTTCGAATATTTATTTGCGTGTGTGTTTGTTTATAATCAAATGTGTTGACGTTGGTGAGCATTAAACATACACTTGTGAGAAATTTAATGTGTATTTCAAGGCTACGTTCTGGCGGGTGTTATGTACGATACGAAAACACTGAATCTCGTTCTAGGTGAAATGTTGCATCTTCATGAGTGGTTTATTAAAGTTCTTAATATTATCATCGTGGCCGGAAACAAGGGCAAAATGTTCTTCATTAAATGGAAACACCTCTTTTTTTGTTTAACTTACCTAGGCAAGAGATATGAGACTGATATACTGTACAGAACGCACACACTCTCCCACCAAAAGAAGAATACATTACAACGATAATCACTACTTCTTAAATCATATACAGTATACTGTACGAGGAAGATGACTCGATTTAAGAGATTTCTGTTTTGTAATTTCAAGATAGCAACAGTCGACCAAGAGAAGACAAGTTTTAATGTTCGCAAATGAAGAAATTCGAAGTAAATCATCATACAATATGAGATTTCTGACCCCCTCCCCCTCCTGCATCTGTTGATTTATGACGTGGTTCACTTCGAAAAAAAAATTATTGTAACAGGTGTTTATAAGTAGTGACGCTGTTTCCTTCTCTTCATTTAATACAAGTAAACTCATCCAGTAATACAACACCAGTGAGTGTCTAGTAACAACAGCCGGGATAATGGTGTCAATTCTGTTTTGTTTTATGTTTTTGTTTTTGCAAAGCGTTTATGGCTATCTGAGTGAACTACTTGTGTAATGTAGTTGTTGTTGTGTTATCTTTTCATTTATTTTGCAAAATTTAAAGTGACGATATTGTAATATTCAAACTCTAGTTGATGGCCAATGATGTTTTCATTCAATGAGTTAAAACAAAATATTGACGCTCTCGTGTCTTAATGCTTTCGGGTTTTCTTGCAACTCTTATATGACGCATAATACTTTCAGGAGAAGTGTAGGAGGGGCTAGGTGCACACCTCACCAGGGCTATCAAGTGCTCATAGAGTTTAATGGATACAAAACCTTGTTAATTTTCTAAAAACTAGTTTTGAAGAAGAGAAGAAAATATAAAAAATTAACATGGAAGAAACATCGGGAGAATTACTATTTACTATAAACTGGGAATGTCATTGTCATGGCGCAATTCTGGATTGTTTCAAGTTTATGGTGATTCCTTTCCTGTCGTAAGTCACGGAATAATTTTGGTCATCTTTAATGTTACATCTCAATTGCTAAGGAGTTGAATCATTTACTCTCGAAGGCAAATATTTCAGCTTTTTATTTCAGAAAAGCAACAAATTATTATATCGATAAAATATTGGATATGGTTCTCACTTTTGATCGATCGTTTAACTTTGAAAACTTTTCTTCTTACACTGAAATAAATATTGATTTACTGGCCCACTGGGAGGCCACACAGGTCATGAAGAGTTAAGAGTGTATTTTATAACACGATAACTGTTCGATACCAAAATGTTTGAGTGCGCTGCAATTATTACTGATGTACAAGGACGTGCAAAATGCCAAGTGTATACAAGTTAGCATAAATAAATTTGAACATTTACTGCAATATAACCTAGCGTTATAAGATATATTAGACAAAACGAACGAGTTTTAATTTTCCTTTCACACACACACACACACACACATACAGTGTATATATATATATATATATATATATATATATATATATATATATATATATATATATATATATATATATATATATATATATATATATATATATATATATATATATATATATATATATTGATAAAACTAACAGGGGAAAGGGAAACAATGGAGCACCTTAGCTTTCGTCTTTATTCAAGAAATTTTCAGAAGCAACTGAATTACAAAGACTGAGAGAGAACTTATGTACATAACAACACATTCATTGTCCATTGCACAAAAACTTGGGTACTCTTCATTGTTTGTTGATCGTTGTTTTAAAAGGGCTAAACAATCCTTTTATTCTACTCAAACTAGACAAGTTCCTACATTTAAGAATATTTTGACTCTACCTTATCGCAATGAATTTGACCCGTTAGTTCAGTCCCTTAAATTATTAAACATTAATGTTGTTTTTAAGTATGACTCAACTATTACTAACGCTCTCCATTGTTTCCCTTTTCCCTGTGTGATTTTATCAAGATTTATCTTATCCACGTTTCCATTGTGGATCTACATGATACATATATATATATATATATATAAATATATATATATATATATATATATATATATATATATATATATATATATATATATATATATATATATATATATATATATATATATATATAACGGGAGGCTCATTGTCCTCCTTCACTGAAGGTCTTAAGGCACCCTCCTTCAGATCTCTCATGCGTCATCTGGTAAAAGAGAATATCCAATTAGAACTCATCCATGTAAAAGAGATTTGTTTCTTCATCTTCTCTTTTCGATTAAATTCTATATTTGGTTTTTCTTTAACCGTAATATGGATGTACATTTACGAAACCTTCACCTTTAAGGTTAATAAAAGCTGTATCTATGAATAAGGTAAACATATAT